CGCCGCGCCCCGCGCTTCCGGGTCGGGTCGGGTCGGGGCCGCGCGGCCTAGCGCAGGCGCGAGGCGCGCCCCTCAGAGACACCTGCCAGGTCAGGGCGGGGCTACGAAGGGGGGTGATAAGAAGCAAGAACACCCCGGCCATGATCCCCCTGTAGCTCTTCCTTGACGTCCTCTGTTTTTTCTCTTCTCCTGCACCTGTGGGGAGCTGCTGGGGTCTGGGGACGGAGCGCCCCTGGTACAGACCCTGCCGCCCCAACTCCCGTGGAAACGTGCACGTGGCTTTGCGTGGCATAATTTTAAGAAAGGAAATATTTCTAACTACAGAGTAGTTAAGTACTTGAACAGACTACTCGCAGAGACTCTGGAGTCTCCATCACTGGGAGTTTTACAGTTGTCTGGGATAGTTTAGAGTTGGACAAGGCTGTGAGGGCTGGACTCGCCAACCTCCTGAGGTCCTTTTCTGTCTTTTTTGGCTGTGATTCTGAGGGCCCTGCTACATGTTCAAGTTAAAGTTAGATAGAAACCAGCTATTGGGTTGTTACACATTTTCAGACACCAACTTTACAGCTTATTGGTTCTTTTTATACCTGAATGGTCATTTCTATCATGTTCATAATTACTTTGAACATGTAACTGGTCTGAATTTATTACACAGTTAATCAGTTCATTGTGTGATAATTACTTTGCACTTGTGGCTGGTGTTACTTTGCATGTGTGGCCAGCTTAATTTTATTGAACAGTTAACTGGTTAATTGCATAATATATGTAATGTACAGCAGGGACCTGTGAGATCAGTTACAACTCTCCAAGATAGCTTGCGTAAGGTGCTGAGCATCTTGCAGAATCAAATTCACTGCTGTCTTTGTTAGGCCAATGGGATAACCCCATTTTACAGATGGGTAAACAGACAGCTGACATGTCCTGTCCATAATCATAGTGCTTCACTGAGTTTTTTTGCTGCTTTTAGTTGATTAAAATTTGTCTGGACCTTAACAGTTTAGACTGAAATATTCATCTCCAATGTCTGCCTAGGTATGCATATTATTTGGAATGTTTCAACAGAAACAGTTCAGGTGTTTATAAGAAATAAGTTAGAGAAAATATGGTTTCTAGTCCATGTGCAAACATTTTTATGAAAAGAGGACTGGGATTTTGCACATGCTAAGGAGAGTCCTGCTAAGAGTTTGGCAGCTCAGTTCTCAGAGGAACTGGGTGCATCCCAACGCAGAGCTGCCTCTCATTCCCCCAGGGCTTGTTGTAACACCAGGCACAGGTGGTAAAAATAGAGAAACTTCCTCTGTGCTTTCAGTGACCCTAGTGAGGCTACCCAGACAGGCTGGAGAAGGAAGAGGCCTGTCTGAAACACTGAAAGGGGCAAAGACAGACTGTACGTAGGAAGAGAAAAGACTCAGGTCAGTATGAGGCAGAAGTGACCAAAAGGAACCTCTAAAACCCAAACCCACAGAGCACCCTGGATCCAGGTGTCTCCATGCCAGGAAAAGCTTGGACCTGGGACTTGCCACAGGGATCAGCCATGTTAA